AAATTCTCTATGTGCCCTTGATAACCCACAAAAAATTTCTACTCCACTAAACGAATATGCAAAAAAAATGTGATCAGACAACATACACATAATGAAAACAAAATTAATTTTTGAAAATTAGAAAATCAAAATTTTAATAGCAACAAAAAGGATCAGAATTTAGTGAAATTTATTGGGAACTTTATTTGGTATTTATATGACCATGTTTCAATTGAACCTCGCCAAAAGATGGTCGCGATTACGTGACGTTAAACTAAATAATTACATAAAAATGGCTAGGGTGCCTTAATTAAGCGTTTCCAACAAAAAAATTTGCGGTAGAAGCACTAAATTTTCCACACAATCTTAATTAAAAGTTCACTTCTTTGCATCGAAATGTGAGGTTATTATTACTCAAAATTTCATGATTACTTTTAGGTTGGTAAGAGTGTGCCTAACATTCAAACTTCAATTTCTTAAGAGGTTATGTTACTTTTCCACGATTTAATATACGTTAAAACTGTGTTTCTACTCGTAATTATACCACAATAGCAGTAAATAACGGACGATCAAACATGAGTTTCTGTCGAGTCGCCTTTGGAAGTTCAATTTAAGTACGATTTCCCATGTAAACAAAAATTCCAAAGATGACTCGACAGCAGCTCATTTTTGATCGCATAGTAGTTCTCTACATGTTTTACATTATTCATGTGTACATTATTTACAGATGAGCAGCAATTTTAGAGCTTGAAATACTAACAAAATATATGTACTTTTGAAGATTTACTACTACAACTTGATTGCACTTAATTTTTTCAATTCTGTAAAGAGCCCCGTATACGGAAGGATTGGTCTGTCGAATCCGTCATTTCTGACCGATCGAAACGACGAATCGCTGGTAATTATCAATATCGTTAACGATTTCCTTAATCGAATGGGGTATCGCTTGCAAGTATTGGAGGAGCACGAGGGTGTCATGTTGCAGTCAGATTGACAATGTCAGCAGTTAGTACGAAAAAGACGTTCGAAGTTAATCGACGGCAACAAAGAGGCGGCCTATGGAAGATGCGAAAGACGTCCCTTTCGAATGATAAGGCTGTCGATAAGAGTCATCGGATAATACGGAGGAAGCGTTCAAAGTTAGGCGACGGTCGATACGAAAGAATTGGTTTATGGAACATGCAGAAGGTGCCCGGGTTTCCCGTCTCAGTGGTCGATACAAAAAATGACATTCTTCCTCCCTAAGGCATTCAAGTTTGGATTGTATACGGTCCCAAAAGTGGTTTTATTAAAGTGTATCGACATGTGACAAGGAAGTGTCGCTTATTTGGTGTAAGTCGAACTAAACCTAAAATTGTATTGTATATTATACCGACTATACTACTTTTACATATTACATTAACAGCTGTTAATATACACGTTGAACCCAGTATATTTCAATCTAGTAAACGTAGAAGTTAACATAACCTCTTAGTCTTACAAAAATTAACTCTCGCTTCAGATTTTTCAGGATTCATCAATTTAAAAAATGACAAAATATAAGTAACATAACCCCTGATTTCGACAAAATGAAGTGAACTTTTATTAAGATGCAAAGGGACTTAATCAGGTCGCGTACCCATGGTGGCGTGTGCTCAGATCGATTTTAGATATACGGTAATTGGCTAGGTAATTGGGCTACTAATTTTGAAAACACTTTTTTTAAATCAGAAACCTAAATAATGACTGAAGTTTCATCCATTTTCTATTATGGTTGCTAAAAGAGGTGCAAATTTTGAACTTTTAGAGACGTCCGTTCCCTGTACCACCCAATTTTTTGACATACTTAACTGGTGCACCCTGAATACACTAGGACATGAATGTTCAATACTAACATTTACCCTATCATTATTAACGAGCTCCTAGCGAGCGAATTTTGCAGTGTCTGTCCGCCTGTCCGTTCGTCTGTTAGCACGATATCTCAATATCGAATCGACCGATTACGATGAAATTTTCTAGGTGGATTCTTTATAAAATTTTTAGATTGGATTTCGTGAATTGGCAATGTAGGTCAAAAAATAAGGAAGGCCCTTTTGACATCTCTATTAGTTATGAACAGAATTGCATGAATTTCAATATTGGCATATAATACGCAATTCCAAAAGTTGGGTCTAATCGACTCAACATGCAGTGCCCTTTTTGCATTTCGATCATTTGTCTACTGAATTGCAGACTTTTTTATTTATGAAGGTATTTGAATAAAATTTGATACATAGCCACTTGGAATAAAAGCAAATTTAACACCAGTTTCAAAATTTCGTTTTGCGCATGCGCAGTGCCAACTTTCTTATTTATGGAGAGATTTAAATGAAATTTGATACATCACCACTTGGAATAAAATCAAATGTAACGCCAGTTTCAAAATTTGGTTTTGCGCATGCGCAGTGGCAACTTTACAAAAAGTTAAACGGTTTTGATCGGGAATCGTCATTTCGGAAATTCACTGAAATTCATGTCAGAAAATCCGGGTTTTAAGAGTTACTTAAAAAACTTAACCCGAAGTACGTGTTCTGTAAAAAAAACGTATCACAAAGATGCTTTCGCGTGTCAGTTAAATTGAACAATTTTCGGGGAACAGGCTAAAAATAAGGCATCGTAACCTTGAAGGGACAATCTTGCATTACTAAGGAATTGAGTTGTTCGAAACTTGGAAACTTGATTTCTCTTCATTTAATACATTTCTTTGTGGAAAGGTCTGAGATTATTAATGGTAAAAAGGTATTTTTTTTTAAACTTGTGAATTGAACTTTTCCTACCACATATTCGGAATGATATTGTATTATTGTAGCTACTACATCCGATTACAAAATAAAATAAATCAAACGTACTTTTCCGCACCCATAGATTTCTGGAGTCGGATGGGCCCACAATTAATAGGGTATTAGGGTTCATCCATGAGGCCTGAACACCTTATTATCAAAAATTATTTGTAAGACATTCGCCTTTGACGTTTTAACTCCTCCGACGGATGCGTTTCCCCTAAACGTTACATTTTTCCTTTGTGAGTACTCTCTTCCGACTTTAAGATGTTCACAGTTGAAATTTTGACCCACCGGTGGACACGCTTCGTCCACATTATTATTTTCCCTTTGTAAGCACCCTCTCCGACACTCCGATTTTGAAATTTGCACCCCTCCCCATTGCATGTTTTATACAAGCAATTATTATACTTTCCTATTATTAGAAAGATCGCACTGTAACGAAGCACCCGTTTTTCGCTCCCCCATCTTATATTTTTCCGATAATTACATGCCGAGTAATTATTAAAAACCGAAATAATTTGCATTTCTTTCGGAGCGAATACAGCGAGGAGCTGGAAATTCCCTGTTCCTCTTCCATCAAGTAGGGTTTTCTTTAGAAGGCAAGCGCTCAATTTTGGAAGGATCTTGTGCCATTTTGCGTGCCGTAATCACAAAAGACAACGTTGTAGCATCAAGTGACGATTGTACCTTACTCGACCGTGATCGGTATGTGAAGGAAAAGTCGTGGATACTGTCGATACGCTACTTACTTAGTAATGCTATCATATCCTATTGAATAAAATTTATCTGTGTTTTATTTACATTATGGCGTTATATGGCACGGATTGCGAATTTTTAAAAAAATTGTATCCAGAGATGCTTCTAGCATCGGTAAGTATATACTCGATGAGCGCATGCGCAGTGTCAACTTTCATGTTTATGGAGATATTTCTCTGAAATTTTAACCATATAATTAAAGGCAAAAATGTGGATATAGTAATAATCAGATGTGCGCATGCGCAAACTGCTCCATGCCAACTTTCTTGGTTATGGAGATATTTTCTTTGAAATTATTAAAATAAGATTGCGCAATGTCAACTTATTTACTTATTGAACTTTTTTTAATTTTAACTATAGCACGTTCAAATAAAAGCAAACATACCGCATATTTTGAGATATTAACCATGATTTAACCATAATTCGTGTTTTAGTTTTATTTAGTAGTTTAAAAAAAGGATTATTGTTTTTAGATATCATCGCTTTTTTTGATATTAGACGAAAAAACCTTGAGATTAAAGTGCTTCTACGACAGTTTACTTCGGAACTTACAGTATCATATAGAATCTGCTCGTGAAAAATCATGAATTAAATTTCGGAAATAAAATAGCGAATTCGTGTTACAAATTCACAAAATACTTAAATGCCATTTGATCACATGGATACTTTTCATGAGACTCAAAAGTTACTCATGAATTTATTGTATTCTTCGCACTCAGAAAATCCTTCTAATTTTTCTCAACACCTAAACATCGTATAACTAACAACGGGCTTTCATTTCATTACAAGCCCATTCAAGTGGCATTTCTTTTATTAATCCCCCAACACGAGTCTACGATGTCTTTACGGAATCTCTTACAAATGGGAGTGCACTAAAAAAAGGCCAAACTCTAACCCTCTTCGGAATATAATAAATAATAATAACGAAGATATTTATCCACAAGAACGTATGTGGTTTAAAATAAACGTCAAAATGTGATCGTGTCAATTAAACTTTAATTAAGTGTTATGATAGCATAGTCCGTCCTATAAACAAGATTGAAAATGGAAAGATACCAAAATTATAAGGACCAAACTATCGAGCAAAATGGAGAAGGAAAGCTTTAAGATATGATACATCCCTTGAACTTTAATTAGATCAAGATATTAAAGTGAAAATGAAACGCACAGAACAAAGTGAAATTATCTGGTTTTGCATAACAAAAACAAACAGCACTTATTAGGTAATAGAAATTTATTTGCGCATTTTACTTAAAAAAGAGACTAATCGCAAAAACGCGCCACGTTCCAATTCAAAGCTAGATAATCAGCCGAATAGAAATGTATGAAAATAGCTGTTTGTTGAATTTAAATTGCAAACGGCAATGTAATTTTCTGAGACGCAAGTTCGTCACGCGAAGTTTATAAAATCACATTGGCACGTGATAGCGCATCAAAATGTAACTGCTCTATTAAGGAACTTACGGGTAACAAAGTTGACTGTGTCGTCCAACATAGCGGTTTGAAGGATCCCCTTTTCGTAGCCTCTTGAAAACTTTGAAATTGATTTTCCCAATCGTAGGAGACGAGGCGAGATTCTAGTGTCATGCCTGCCAGCTCCGGGGGTGCCGATATGCGCACGGGATTTGATCCGCTGTAAGTAGAAAACCAAACATTTAACAATGACGCTCGCGTTTTATTAAAATTAGGTAGGTATTTACTAACTAATAACAATTCAAGTACTTACGGGCTAAGCTCTTGAATGCCGAGCGAATGTAAAACAGTTGGTAAACTTGGCAAACTGTGGCAGGCTGCCAAAGAACGTTGTCGAGGATAGTAAAGTCCCATAACTAAACATGTCTCCTCTCTACTTGTTAACCCGCCGAGCGTTATTGCTGATCTTCCTGAACTGTTATAAGTGCACTCCGCTATTAAGTGGTCTCCAGGTAGTATTTTAGCGGGTGCTATCAGTTTTCGGTACTCTTGATAATCAGCGTCGAGGTTGTCATCGCTCGCAATAGGAGCCTGCTCCACTCCGTCTCGAACATGCCTCAGAGCTACTTGTCTACCAATTCTATGCGTTCTCATCACAACTGCAAACATATTCACACCGGATTTCGGAAATGCTTGCTTTGTACATTCGGATATGCAATGTCCGGAAGAGACAACCCTTTGTTGTCCCGGCGGTATAATATGACGCCAGTTAGGATCTATTCCAACAGATATAACTCCAGCATCATGTCGACGCAACTCCGGAGTATAATATAATTTTAACCCGGAACCTTCCAAACCTCCCAAATTGTCATCATAAGGACTTATATAGTGCGTTTCTAGGAGATAATACCGACTAGCAGACGGTTCGAAAGGATATCCGGCTTCTGGAGGGAAACTGAAACCTTCCGATCCCCGTGCCCAGCTAGCAACGACAGTATTACAAGCTAAAGGTTGAGAGCCTGTCTCGTAACACTGTCTCCCGGGCGTTCCGGCCAAATGCTCAACTTGGGATGTCTCCTGACATTCGTATAGGACAACGTGTTGTAGTCCGCTCGCCGTCCTAGCGCCTCGCAAGGGCTCGTACTGGAATTAAGAGAAACTAAATTAGCGAAACGATTTGACGATCGTTGGGAAACTAGCTCCGACGCAATTTATATAATTTCAAATTTAAATATCAAAGAGCTGTAAAATTTCGTACGAATTTATATGAGGGGGAGATGTACGCATAATATTATTTGCAAATCTGCGAAGCGAGAAGGAAAGCTGAGCAATTTGCATACTATGTGCCGACTTACCCGAATAAGGTGATGCTTCCGCGAAAGTGTAGGGAGACGAAACACCCTACACCAATAGAGGGTATCCCCGGGCGCCGGTGATTGTACCGACGGGTTGCGTAACTCCCACGTGCGCGTTGTCTCCTCGGGACCTGGAGCGTCTTGATCCGCTCGTTGAACCAAATATAAAGATTGACTACCCCGCGACTCGACGTCGTGTTGGGGTAATGATCCTGGACCGACTAATCCACCCACAGGCTCATTCCGGTGATAAGCCCATACTATACGCATAGTGTCATTCTGTAACAAGAGAAAAAGAGGCGCTTGAGTACTTCCGTTCCTTATCTGCGTTACGCTGTAAAACCGTTTCGCACATCCTATAAAAGTAGGAATGCGTTATAAAAGTGAAATTACGAGTTTCGTTTTGGCCTAGCGCTATTTTTTCATACAATATCCTGTGTGAGCCTATCGAAATAAAGTCAGTATAAAACAGCTGCTTCAAGTTTTGCTACTGTAAAAGTGTCATGCTGAATAACATTGGATTTCACTGGCAACAGAGGTACATTTAACGTTTTCTTAACGAACAGGTCAAAAAGAAAATACTCATAAAAAATTTCACTTCAGCCACTAACAGAACCGGTGCATATAAATAGACGGCACTAAATACTCGTAAACTAAACCATTACAGAGCTAATCAGGAATCTTAATTAACTCAACTCCTGGACTTTCAATGACGCACACCCGTAGCAATCCGACTGAGCAACACGCGCCCTAGCGACGATATTCTGATATGATTAATTAACAGTAAGCGATTTATGTTACAGATCGTACAGATTCGAATGTAACGACTGTGTAGAAATGCAATCATGTAAAATTTCTCCGCATATTTTCCATGTATTTGACGTATTTTACAAAATATAAAAAATCGGTCCATAAATAAAAGGCAGCACATACGCAAATCCATTTCATAGTATGTCCACCCATACGGTCCACGTGTTAGTAATTGCTTTGAGGTAAAAAAATGTCCCCTATGATGATTTGCTCAGTGAAGTGGAATAAATAGAACATATTTGTTTAACTTTGTTGCAAAATACTGTGATACAGCTATAAATATATCAACGTAAGCAGACTAGTGATTCGAAGCACAATATTCACGCCTCGATCCTAATTCTAATCGAGTAAGTACTTGGTATAATGTAACCCTCACCGAGTAATATCGTGGGAACACCTGACCCAGCTATTGAGGGACCTGCCCCCTCACTATCAAGAGGATTTGCTAGATGAAATTAAGCCAAAGATCCAGGAACCCAACGAGAAAGTCGACATTTATTTTGCCATAATGCAAGGACTTTTTGCTAGATTACAAAATCCACTCACCGAACGCGACCAAATGCGAATTATCCGCCGAAACTTTTTGCCCTTTGATCTCACGAAACTCGGACTAAACGCACTGGCCACCCTCGGCGGACTTTTGGCGGATTTCAATCTCTTTGATGCTATTCGACACGACGTCTTACGTACCCAGACTCGCTTACCCTTCCAGGAACCAGGAATTAGCTGCCCCAATCGACGACGTACCACCTCGCGTTTTCCCATTCCCTCTATGGAAACGCGTGATTTACTCTGTTTTAATTGCCAACGATTAGGACATCACCAGGTGGATTGCCCCGAACACTGAAAGTTTTTCTGCTATAAGTGCGGAGACACTGGGGTTACCATTCGTGCGTGCACGTTCTCTTCGGGAAACGGACCACGAAACGCTCGCTAAGTTGTCACGAGGATTCGGAGGTTCCGACAACCAAAATATTGTAACATTTTTTAAACCCAAGTTACACTTTTTACTTCAACACGCCACTAACCGTTTAAGACCTTATGTCAAAATCACTACATTAAAAACCTGCGTTTAATGGGATTGTTAGATTCGGGTACTTTACGCTCCTTTATTAATCAAGACCTTTGCATTGAACTAAAACAACTTAATTTAAGGTTCGTGAAGCAATTTACTTCCCGAAAGTTGCTAATAGTGCCGATGCACAATCCACTGGTTACATCATAGCTCCGTTAACCTTAAAGGATAGGACTGTGCTGTTTTTGCCTACTTTAACTACCGACTTGATCTTTGGAATCGATTTCTGGGATAAGATGGGACTTATTCTGATGATTGTTGGCACTTCGTTGCTACAACCCCAACAGCGACACCGGGTTTACCAATTATTGACCACCCACATCTTACTGCTGAACAACAAAAATCGTTACTACCCTCCTTGATCAGAAATTGGAAGCCAATCGGACTCGGCTAGGTATCACCACGGTGGGGAAGCACGGTTTGCAGAAAAAACACTCATCTGCACATGTGAGTACAGAAGATACAAGAGAAAAATACAAAAAGAGGCGAAGAAATAATAGATAATCAAAGAAACAACAAAATCAGGTTGGAGCTCATTGGAAACGCACAATACACGACCAAATTGCAATGATTTGTAGTGAGGTCTACGTTTGAGAAAATTCAAATGCTAATGCATTTCGTGTAACAATTGAGTTACAAATGGTTTTCACCTTTTTCGACCCTGTTAAATCCGATTCTCCCTGTTGCCAAATTTGGAAATGAACAGGAAGGGAGATATTAAAGAAGGCGTCCAATATGGCGGTTTTTGGACCACCCTGGCGTATTCTCCGTCTAAAATGCCCGATTTTTAAGTTCAAGGATCTGCATCCATGTTCTATTCTGTTGCGTAAACTACGCATGCGGTCGTTTTATTTGGCTTCCGCACCTATAATAACGATGGGACACGCTGTATGTAAATTTCATCTATTGTTAACGTTAAACGTTGGTTGGGATTAACAATCCTGATCATGTTTAGTTGAATTCGAGAACAATGTTGTATCATAACTATTTAATTGTTTGGTGTTTGATTTTGTTTAAATAATTGTTTTGTTTATGTATGGGGTTTTGGCAATTAAAAATAAGGTTAAATTACGCGTTAAAGGACGAGGTTTAAAACTTCTGGAAATTATTTGCGTAGTATTTGTAAAAGTTTATCACATGTTTTTCTCCGGTCGTAGGCAAGAAGTTTTCTTATCGTTTAAACTGAAGCACATTTTCTCGTTTACGATAAAGTTAAAGACAAAAACTTTAAGCTATCAACTAAAGGTTTTTTTCCGCCATTAAAGTAAGTCTAATTACAACGAAGTCAGTGTAGTCAAAATCGAGTTTTAAGTGAAGAACTGAAGTTCCGAAGTACCATCATTGTGTGTTACAACCGGAGATTTTGGATTATTGACACTTTAAGGTAATGAAGATTTCTTTAATTAATTGTTCTATGGATCGCCTTCTGCGTGGTGTGTGTTATTCTGGCACACTACGAACTCTCCTCGACTAAAGAATGCTCAAATGAGCAAATCGAAAATCAAACCAATTCTGAGTTTATTTTTTGACAGAATGGGATCATCCACAAAGAATTTATTTCTCCAGGACACACTGTCAACCAAGTCATTCGTAAAGGCTCTGAAAAAGGGTTAGTCGAGTCAGATCCAACATTGACAATAAATTGATGCTCAGTCATGACTAGGCATGGGAATTTTTTTCTATATATCGATAGGTATCGATATCGATAATTATCGATATATCGATACTTATCGATAAGTATCGACATATCGATAGGTATAACTATTGATATATCGATATGTCGATAACTATTGATATATCGATATGTCGATAACTATTGATATATCGATATGTCGATAACTATCGATATGTCGATAACTATCGATATGTCGATAACTATCGATATGTCGATAACTATCGATATGTCGATAACTATCGATATATCGATATGTCGATAACTATCGATATATCGATATGTCGATAACTATCGATATATCGATATGTCGATAACTGTACGATAAAATTATGTTATTGTTGAGATTTCAACGAGCGCTACTATTTTTATTAATAAAATCCATTTTCGGGTTTTCTCTCGTGTAAATTTACTATTTTTAGTTGCTCGACGTTTCGGAAACTTAACTTTGCTCCCTTTCTCAAGAGAAGCGCTACGTCACATCATCATCCATGCCAAATAAACGCAGTAATAAAATCTTTAGGAAATAGATCTTTTCGTCTTACTGACGATTGCTCAAAAAAAGAAGAACTTCAAGAACTTGAACAAAATGTTGCATCAAAATGGCTACTCTTTAGATAAAATAAAGAAGACAATCAAAGGGTGTAATCATGGCCTATGTATCGGTATCTGATTGATGGTTACAGAGGACCAGTCACAAAAAAAACAGAAAAAGCTAAGAACACTTCAAATTTAGATATACAGTTTCAATTGATTGACATTTACGAAATCTAACAAAAAAACTCTTGATAAAGGTAGCAAAGAAACGTCGAGTAACTATTAATAGTCACTTTACACCAGAATAAACCGGAAAATGGATTTTATTAATAAAACTCGATAAGATAACTATCCCTGTCGATAACTATCGATACGTCGAATATTTCTCTCAAATGAGGCGTGCAATTACCGCTAAATTACAGCGGTAATTGCATTGTAGAAAGCTAAAGAGCACTGCGATAATTGCACAGTTAATATGGTAACTCCATTAAAGTTGCAAGAACTGCATTCGGTTATTTTGATATTTTGTTAAAAGAGCCCTCGTGTCTTGTCGGGCTCTTTCGCCAAAATATAAAAGTAAACTCATGCAGTTTTTAGACACGCTTTCAAAAAAATGATCGGTAATATTATATCGATACCTATATATTAAAAACTATCGCCATAACGAGAACTATCGATATACCGATACTTATCGATATAGCGACAGTTATCGATCTTTCGATAGTTATCGGTGTATCGATAACCATCGATATTTCGATAATTATCGGCATATCGATAAGTAAAATATATCGATAGGTAAGTACCCGATACTTATCGATAGGTGAAAACAGTTATCGCCCATCCCTAGTCATGACAACGCCCTCTCCGTCACAGAATTCTTATGGTTCCCCAGCCCTGTGACTTTTTGCTAAACTCAAAAATGTCCCCAAAGGACGGCATTGAACTTTTAAAAACGTCCGGAAAAACCTGCCTGACCATATCGGCTGCTATCGGAAGTGGGAACAACATCTCTATCGCGTGTAGCTGCCCAAGGGGACTATTTTGAAGGGGCCAACATTGCTATTTAAAAAAAACAGTCTCGGTTCTTTTCTACCACACCTCGTATATCTGCTAAAGATAACAAATAAGAAATTATATTTCAGAACAAGTTTGGGTGTCTGGGGGTAGAAGTTCTGATCGTGACCG